TGTTACCTGGGTGTGTTTTGGATAATTAAGGCCCTATACACCCTGGACCTTCGTGGCTTCTCCTACAATTCTGCTCCCAGCCCTCAACCCTGAACTCGCCGGGGTGATTGCCGGGGCTGTTCCCTAGGGCTCGTCATTATTACAATGAAAGTTGCCACAAGGTACCCCCAAAACCCCATTCGAATTATTCAGGCCCCTATATATTAGCATTCCCGTTTGAATCGTCAGGTTACAGAGCCGATGACCAAAGCCAAGTTCGTGCCTGTGACCTTTGTCTGAGCTCGCACAATGGGTAGTTTGTGGATTAGGGTGTTTTATAGCACCACGATCATACGGTATGCTGTCATAACACTACAACCTGTTGTCGGTATACACCTCGAGCATTTAGTAAGATGAGCCACGCTCATGTTGTGGCAAGGATGCGCTCTGGGTGTTGGCTCCGCTTGTTGTCGGCTCCAATAAAGACTTTACATGGGTTCTGGAGTACCATACTTGAACACTTGTTTTTGGTACCTGTTCCTTTAAGGAACCATTATGAAGTAAAAGTTTATACTTTTTTCTCTGTGGTTAATTACGTCATAGTCCAGTTAACAAGTCCCTCGAGTCCCTAGAGCCCTGAGCCGTCGCTACACAACAGTGGAGAAGGGTCGGATACTGCCCCCACTCAGCAACAGTAAATTACTATGTTTCATATAGGTATGTATAAGGGCCTTGGTAGCGTCCTCATTAGCGGCTGTTACTGCATGGGGGCAGTACCCAAGTCCAATCCCACGTGCAGGGACGAGAGTGTGCTCTACTCGGGTTTAGGGTTCAGGGCTAGGGTGGTTCAGGGCGCGTGGAGCCCAGCCACACAATACCCGAGCCCAAGTAGGGGTTTAACGACGAGTACCAAGTTTTCATCAGTGTTCCAGAATGCTGTTAAAATTGCACACATCCGAATTGCCCTGTCTTATGATTCGGGCCCCGACAGAAACCTTGACAACGTCGACAGCAGGGTCGCATCCCACCACGTACAAGTAAATTACCGGTCAAGTGCAGATGAAATCCCTCAGAGTCCACGGCGGTTAGGTGTTCTTGGTTGAGCCCTAGAACTGTTTAGGGTTTAAGGGTTTGGGCTTCACTGATTTTTGCGAGCTACACAGGGTGTAGAAGCTTAGTTTCCCTTCTCTAGCTAAGTTTTACAGGATCTCGGGCTGGAAGTGTATAGCCAACCGGGGTTTAAAGACTTCACAGTGGTAGTTCGGGGTGCCAAGCCCTCCAGCGTATGTGGGACTCCGATTCCTTGTCTAGGTGCCCACCACCCCGCCCCCAGTTGGAAGCCCTAACCCTATCCTTCCAGGGACCTTATTATGGGGTCCTTAAGGGGTCTAGGGCCCTATGAGGTCCTTGGAGGGATAGGGTAAGCCCTTGAACCCCGGACCCTACAAAAAACCCTAAACCCTAAACCCTAAACCCTAAACCCTAAACCCTAAACCCTAAACCCTAAACCCTAAATCAAACCCTAGGCCTGAAACTGAAGTATGGACGCTGGGGGCATAGCTTGAAGCACGAATCGAGTGTCCGTGCTCTCCTCAAAGGAGGAGAGCTTCTGGGCAGTCGCTGCGGGTGAGAGCAGCCATGGACGGCAGAGTTTATGTTTGAACGTGGCGTCCGCATCTTCCGTCACATTCAGTTTTTCAAGGTCGTGTACTATAATTCCAATACTATTTTGGGGGTTCCTTAGTATAATTATAGTATAATGGGCCCCAAAACCCTAGTCTAAGTATTAAGGCCTTGAGAAAAACTCTTATGACACCTTCATTGTTTCAAGGTGCTGTACTGTTGAAGCTCCCTAATATAAACCTGTGAAGTCTGGGATTTTGTTTGGGAAGCTGTTTTGGGAAAAACTCTGCAGCTATCGGATGCTGCTGCCCGACCGCCTAACGTCTATAGATAGTTTTCCATCCCCAGTGGCTTTCCGAGGAGTTTCTACGATTCGAGCTTCAGTCATTGCAGGAAGGAATTCTGTTATTTAGTGCTGAGGAAGTCTACTGCTTATGTCATTTGGCCTCTGCTTGGGAGGGCGAAAGTTCGAAACTCCATTGTAGCCGCTTGGGAGTTCTCTTAGCTACTGCTTGGCAGCCAGTCAGGAGGCTACCCCACTATTGGCCTCAAAAGAACTTGCAACAGACTGAACCCCGAACTGTACTGCGGATGATGAGCAACCTGTGTATAACTGGGCCTCTACACGGAAGCCTGAGGCTTAGTTCAACGAATCACGCCTTTAGGCATCACCTTCTGCCTTCGGTAATCCGTCATCGTTCGTTCTGCGGCCAGAAGTAGAGAAGCAGACATGCGTAGGCAATAAGACTGTGCTTGTGCACCACTCGAACTGTCACAAGCCATGTCGTCAACCCAAGGCCTTGGTTTTTGTATGTGCCTCCTGCCCACCCCAGCCAAAGATCAATTGCTTGGGCGGTGATTCTCCTAGCTCATTGCCGTTCACAAATTTAGTGCAGCTTGAGGTGACCCATCATGTTCAGTTCACATGCATGGAACACCCTTGAGTTGAAGGTTCTGGAGCAGACGGGCAATACAGAACATGTCATGACAGCAATATACATATTCAACTCTCTCTCCCTATATATATATATATATATATACATGCGAATGCACATGTGTATATGTACATTGTATAGCTCAGATCTAATAAAAACGAACTTCCCTAAGGGTCAAACCCTTACCATAAAGCACCCCTCAGCCTTGGGACACCTGGGTCAGCTCTCCTGACTGCAGACCCGGCGGGATTACCTTAGGGCCCCAAAACAGAACACAAGCTTCGGTTTGGCGTTTAGGAAACAGGATAGGGATATCCAGTAAAGCAGGGATATCTTTGTAAAATGCTTATGTTCTTTTTGGGGGCCTTGCACCAGCAGGGGGTGAGTTCCGAGCTTTCGGTGGGTTCAGGGCACTTGCAGGGCAGGCCGGCATCGGATCTTCAAGGGTTTTTGGGGTGTCAGTTCGAACGGGGCTAGGTTGCATACGTATGGCCCAGGACCTTTAAATGTTCAGGGCATAACCTATACATGGTTTCAGGCTTCCGTGTAGGCCTTCAGCTTTCTGAGGCCTGTAGGGTTTCGGTCTTGGTGTTGAGCGTTCAGGCTCAGGGCTTGTAACATTGTTTCGCATAGCACTGCACCTCAAAACCCCAAGTCCAAAATCCTAAGGTCCTGGACCCTAAAGCCAAGGATACCCAAACCTTAAGACCCTCAACCCTAAACCTCGAATAGAGCCCTTATAAGAAACTGAGATATCAGGCCACAGGCCTTGCAGGCTGTTCCAGACTCGCGGAAGCTTCGTAGCATTGGCCACTGAGAGATTTCGCTCAGCTCAAGCCGTGTTCACCGGAAGAAAGAGGAACCTCTTTGCTTTCGCAAGGGGGGTTTGTCTTTGGAGGTAGTTTGCAAGTTGAGGGTTCTGGGACATAAGGGCTGGATTATGTTTAAACTTAACTAGACGCCTGGATGGGCAATTGAGGGCTTTGGCAGATGGGACTTCTTACGAAATATTGATATGAGGCCAAGTTACAGACGGTTTCGGGAAGCTCGCTGTGACAGTGGTGTACTTATTCTTTGGTGGTCACAGAGGAACCCTATAGTGACTGAGAACTTAAATTACAGATCGTTTATGCTTCCCTAAGGGTCCATGTATTCATACAGTATATACATTGGCCTGAATGTAGTCCCTATATAGGTACTTTGGGGCTCATGTATCTCTATATGGGTACATGGACCCTTAGGGCTTGTTACAGAGGATAGACTGGAGCCAAACGGAAACCATTGGCCCTCGAATCCAGACCCAGTGCCAAACTCGCCACCGGCTACAGCGCATAAACATCCCACAAGCACATAGATAAGTAGTGATTATATGCACATACAGGACACGTAGGCACACACCTGTACTTTGGGCGATGTGGAGTTTTTGGCATTGAAGGACGGGCCATGGCGGCCAGCTTGCGGCGGATAGAGGGATCTGGAGCTCCTTCCGTGGCATGCAGAGCCCAAAGATGCATGAATATGCGGGTGTGTACTGGTTTCAATTTGTCCAGCTTGATGAACTGCAAAATGATCAACCTTGAAGCTTGTCGGGTTCTCACACATAACCATGAGTTGTGCTCTGAAGGGCAGTGATGTTTGTAATGTATCGTGGGTCTTGGAGCAGCAAAGCTGCGGTGCCGGTTCTAAGGCCTCTTCGCGACCTTTGGTGACGTCAACTCCACAGGACGGGTTTGGGGTTGCGGGATTGGGGTGTCAGTCTTACAAGTAACATTGCAGGCTCTAGGATGTAGGCTCGCGGAGTACTTATGGCTTGATTACAACTTTAACCTGAACCTGTCACGGTCTACATAGGTTCCGTGCGGGGATGGTTTTGCACGCAGGGCTCAGGGGCCGTTGGGCTTGGAGCAGGAAAGACTGGCTTCCTTTTGGGTATCTCCATTGTAGTTACCACTTGCGTTACGAGGGTTTGCTTTCATATGCAGGAAACTCATCACTAACCAAAGGAAGTATGGCATTGTCGACTGTATGTCGATGCGGTTTGCTTCCAAAAGCCCTGATCACCACTCGTTTCTTCAGCGTTCTTAAAAGTTGTAATACCATGTAGGGATTCATACTGTATGGGGACAGGCCCCTGTGTTTAAGGGTCATCTCGTCCTTAGGGTGTTTAGCGTTTGTTTAAGTTCTAGGTTCCCCTCATTTTCTGACTCTCTGAGATGACCTGCATTCATCGAAGCCCAAGCACTGAACCTAACAGCGGAAACAGGTTTAAGGTTTGGGATTCATGGTTGTGGGCAAGGGTTTTAGTGGTTTGTGCTTCGCATACGGAGCTGACTTTGAAGCCCTTGACAAGAGTCTCTACCTGTGGACTTAGGATGTAGGTTTGCTGCCCTTTCTTCACCATTCTCCGCACAGAGTTGGGCACATCGAGTCGCAGCATGGGATCAAGAGCTGAACATTACGTACATGGCAAGCTCACTGGGCAGGTGTTCCTTGGACTGTTTAAGCCCTGCATGGTGTGTTCTGAAAGAGTCTTGACCAGCCTAACCTCAAGGAAACTCGATAACCGAAAACATGAAGCCCTAGTACAGAGGTCTTTCCATGAGTGTGAGTACTAGTAGCTCCTTATCCGCGCAAGTACGTGCACCAGAGCACAATTATTATTCCAGTCATTCAGGTCGCTTCCTCAGATTTCAGTATAGTAACAGAAAGTTATGGCATCATGCACACAAGCTGTTGTGATGCCACCTAAGTGTCCATATAAAATATACATATAAAAAACCCGCCCAGCAGGTATCAGCCCGGGTCCCAAAACGGGCCACTGCAGTTCCCAACTATGCAGCCTTAAACTCTGGGTTCTGCCACCACTCTGTAACAGTTGGATAATGGTTATACTACATATACATATATATATATATATATACACACATACATACATACATATATATATATATATATGCATATATATATATATATATATATATATAGCCCTTATTATGATGCCCTAATACAGACTGCTCCAGGGTGGGGGCAGTACCCAGCTCAAACCCATTCTCGACTGAACCGCATGCCCAAAATCCGGGAGCCATGGACCCCAAGACCTAAACGCCTCAAGTTCCAAATGGTCAAGCTTTAAACCCGCCAACGCCCCAGATTCTATAGTTGGACCCATGTTGGTTCTTCTCCTGCCCATGAGTTTGCTAAGGTTGGTCTGTGGCGGTGCTTCTGTACCTTTACAAGGCTCCACGCTGCATGTTCGAGAATGCAGTCCGGCCTTTGGACCTAGTATCGAGGCATTGAGCAGGGTGTAGGATGTTTGGTCTGTAGAGGTTATTTAGGGTTTAGGGTTTAGGATTTGGTTGCATGAGAAGTTTAAGCTACAGGTTCGGGTTCAGGGTGAGCTTTCATTTTCGGCGGGCGAAAGGACCAGAGCTCGTAAGGCCAGATGAGAAGCATGCATAGACGGGATCCAGTTTTTGGAGCTCAAGCATCGGCTCAGTCACGGCTGTGAAGACCCGAGTTGGCAGTTTTCTAGGGCATAGCAGCGTAACAGGGCTTATCGCGCCCAAGTCTTTACACCGTCAGCTTGTAGCTGGTGAGCCTTGTTCGAACTTCTGGAGGGGTGCCATGTAGTGTGCATCGGTTCCTTTGGGCTATGTGTCAAGATGGAAGGGGCTAGGCTGGAGCACTTAATGCCATGGCTTGTTGTGAACCATTGAGTGCATGCTTGTGAAGGTACCCATGCCATTGCTGCTCGTGCTTTGTTGATATTTGGGTTGTCATTGTGGTTGTTCTGGTTCTGGTGGTGGTGGTCGTTGTTGTTGTTGTTGTTGCTCACACCTTGACTTGCTGCTTGATGTGGCCTTCAGGCTGGTGTGCGGGCGACAGATGTTGCCACGATGCAGCTCTCAGCTGAACACCTGGACAAGTTGCAGGCCGCGCATGACCGGGTAGACAAGACCCTACAGTCGCACACGGCCTTGCACCAGCGTGTGGAAGTCTCTGCCACAGCTACCATGGCAATGGTTCCGATCGAGAACCTGGAGAAGTATGCTAGGTCCCTGGAGCTGCCAGAGCTCAGCGAGCGCCATCAGCAGGAGGTGAGAGATCATCTTTGTCAAGTTTTATTGGAAGATCACTCCGAAGCATACCACCTTCTGAAGGTTGCGGACCCCACTACTGGTGCGCAACGATTGCAGAAGTTCTTGCTGAAACATCGGCGGATGGGACGGGAGGTTCAGATCGTGTTTGCATCTTTCGAGGACCAGAGAAACTTGCGGACGAGTTCTCTGGATCTCGGTGAGGAGGAGCTTGCCAATTGGATGGACTACAAACTGTACAGCGCTTTGATGTGGAAGCTGGAGCCATCCAGAGCCCGGGAAGAACAGCTACGCAAGCATGCGTTGCAGGCAAGTCAAGCCGCTTCTTCTCAGACAGACTTAGCTGCCTGCATTGCATGGGCCATGTTCTTTATCAGTTGTGCAATCCTGGCTGCTTTATCGATGTACTCTGCGACCCTGGTGAGCGAAGGTGAGAGGCAGGCTCTTTGCTCAGAGCACCAACACTTGCATGACGAGCCTCAGTGCATGAGCGGGCCCGATGCACTTCCCGAAGAGGTTGCTTCACCACGTGCTCCCGCGACACCATTTCTGTCCCACCCGCTGGAGGATTGGCAGGTTTGGGTGTGCTGCGGCAGGTAGGCTCAAATAGTTTGACGAGTGCGGAGCCATGCACAGTGACTCGCTCATTTAAAGTTGCCGGTGCAAGCCCCACAGACTCGGTTTGCGCAAGTTTCCTTGCTAGCAGAGCGCACGACCCTGGCCGGTGCCTTTGCCGCAAGCTTTTGAGTTCAGTCCGACTTTCTCGAGCACACCATATTCACAGGTTCTTAACTGTCAGGTCGCTTGTACCGCAGAAGTCGACAAGCCGTCCCCTTGCAGACCAACCGGCCAAAGCAAGCTGTGTCACTTTAAGCAGAGATCGGCTTGGTTGCAAATGGAGCGAGAGCCAGGAGCCATTCGTGCCCACACCTGGGCCGCTCAAAAAGCTTGGTTGAGAACAGTCGAGGACGTCACATTCGGTGAAGTCACAAACCTGCTGCGCAGTCCATTTCCTAAGCTATTCATGCTGCATTCTGTTAGCCACTGCTGGCTTTGTACAAGACGTGTAACTTTGAAGGCACACCTGCTGATCGGAGGACGAACGTCTGACCTTCCGGCTCGGCGCAGCCTGACCCCAAGCTTGCTGTCGACTATCTGACGCTGCGTGGGCTTGCAAGTATGCAGACCCCTGAAACAAAATTCAACGAGCCATTCGCCATCGGCCATTGTCTTACTGGGTGCCTGAGTTCCTCGTGGTCTTATACGTAGACCACGCTGACCAACACTGGAAACTTTTATCCTTTGCCACAGTCAGTTTTTTTGAGAAAGCAGCAAAGGCTTGAGAGCCCACTTGGCATGCGGTCGAATGTTGCACGTCGTGTGCGCGTTGTGCTGTCACTGTTGAGGGTGTTTGTTGCAACTTTGGCTCCCAGCTGCGCACGTTTCTTGGCATCTACCGTGCTTCAAGGCAGTCTGCACACGCAGAGTTCGTCTGCTGAGAAGTTGAGCCAGATGAAGGGCAAAGACGGTGCCTCAACACAAGCAAGTGACGAAAGTCAGCTAGCACATGTGACAATGCTGCTCACTTGTTGAAGTCGAGCTCAGCACCATCCAATAGTTTCAGTAGACATGACATACAGCATTCAGCAGGCATTATTCGGCGCTATCGACATGCAACTTCCATGCTCACACATCTGTATGTTCTAAGCACGCGTAACAATCAGGACAGCTGGAAGAGCCGAACCCCTAAACCCCACATCATCCGCATGCATGTCCACCGAGGCTTGGACGAACCTCGCTCTTTGTCCAAAGCACGCTTGATCTTCTTCACACTCTACCTCCTCAGCTGCCAGTTCAGAGGTGCTACTGGCTCAGAGGCGCACTGCCTGTCGTTATTTCGGCAAGCCCATGCAATATCGGTAGTCTTGTAGCGTGCTTGGTTAGTTTCTCGCATCAGTCGGCAGCTTCAGGTTATGACTTTCAAAAAGTTTGCTGATGGGGCAATGCACGAACTATCCTCGGACAACAATGTTGAATTGAAGGCGGTGCACGACCATGTGGACGCCCAATTACGGCTGGAGTCAACAGGGAATATTCAAGTAACCACATCGCTTGACCAGGTATTGCCCGGCCAAGAGGAGGATTTCTTCCAGCAGTTTGAAGCTTCCATGAGCGAAGAATTACGCAAGACTCTTAATGCACACCTGAAACAGACGTTGCTAACATCCACCTCTTGGCAGGCAAAACACAGGCTTGCCATTGAGAATTCCACCGGCGTCAGGGTCTTGGAGAAGTACATGTTCATGAATTGGAAGACACCGAATGGAGAGACTGCAGTATTTTTCTCAGTCGTCTCAGATGTGCGCACTCGCCAAAAGAACTTCCTGGGGATTGACAAGGCCGCTGCTGACATCCGTGACGAGGAGCTGTTGAAATGGTTGGACTTCAAGCTTCTTGTTGATATCCGGAAGAGAGCCGATGCTGTCTTGCAGCCCGCTGTGAAGTGCCCCCTCAAACATTTGCAGCTAGCATTAGTGGATGGCGACGAAAGCTTCAAAGAGGTCTTTGAGAAAGCGGAGAGGTCCGGAGTCTGCTCTGAAGTCTTTCTCGCCCAGCACAGAGGCAAATACAAGGAGCTATTGGATAAGAGTGAGATCTTCGAGACATTGACGGAAAATCTCCAGGACAAGATCGAACAGTTGGATCCCAGCTGTGCGGCTGATTTGCAAGCCATGCAGCGCCAATGGCCACACAAAAATCTCGCAACGCAGAAGGAAGGTTGCAAGCACGTTGGGAAACTTCTCCGCCGTAAGGAAGCCTTCCAAAATCTCTCGAAGGTTTGTTGCGATGCTGATCAATCGGTAGCCCAGCATCTCATGCGCACTCATAACTTCTCTGACCGAGAAGTTGCTCCTTGCCGGCAAAGATGCGAAACCCTCAGGGCCCTGGACGTTACAGCATCTTCGGGCGATCTCGATGGCTTGAAAACGCTGCTGGCAAAAGTCAAGTTGTCAACCGACCTTTCAGACAGTGAACTCCGTCCCTTTGATGAGAAAATCGCATTGGAAGACGAAAAGTTCAAAGTCAAAGTCCTGTCGGATCTCGATGCCGCCAAAGGAAACTGTGATCGAGCTTTTCGGCGGGCCTTGAGGGAAGCCAAGGAAGCCAAACTTCCGGATCACGAGATCCGTCGTCATGAACAAGAACATGAGACCCTGATGCAAGCCAGGGAAGACCAGGAAACCCGCAAGAATGAACTTCGGGAGCTGCAGAAGCTGATCCGTACTTCGGACTTGAAGTGTGACAGCAAGCTGCAATCAATGAGGAACAGATGGCCTAACCAGGATCTGAGCAAGCAAGGTGAAGATTGCGAACGCATTCAGAACGTTCCCCTCCGCCAGGCAGCCTTCCGACAGTTTTGGGAGGTTTGCTGCGATACGGACCAGTCAAAAGCCAGACAGCTGATGCAGTTACATGACTTCTCTGAGGAAGAGGTCACCGCTTGCCACAGGCAGTGCAACCCGTTCCCTCTTGTTGGGGTTCTATGCGGCAGCGTCGCCTTGTTCTTGGTCAGTTTGGCGACATGGTGTGCTTATCGTTGCACAACGGCTAGGGCTAGAACAGCCAATCTGCCTGGAACCGGCTTGCAACATGCCGGTGTTCCGCATGTTTCACCGGAGGATTCCATATCACAAGTAAGATGTGCTCAGCTTGGGTTCCCCACGCACGAACACCCTGGTCGGGGCAGCGCGAGCTGCGCGTCGCATGGCTCAGACTCATGGAGCCTGCTTCCGGGATGCTTCCTTCCAGATTCAATTTTTGCTATGGAAAGTGGCCACTGGATCCCAGCAAGCATGCTTGTTCCTGGAAACAAGGTGCAAGCGCATGATGGCCAGTATGTCACAGTGAAGAGCATTAGAAAAAAGAAGGAATCCAGAATGGTTGAACTTCGCGCAGGCGATGCTTGTCTTTGCGCAACTCCTCAGCATCGCGTGATTGTTCTAGCCGGAGGGCAAGAAAACCCAGGGCAGGAGGAGAAGCCCATGAAGGAGCTCGAGGCGGGTGTTGACAAGGCAAGCAAGGGGTAGCGACTCACTACGTACAGGATAGTCAAAGCAGCCATAGTCCAACTGCTTGGGACAGTGTGGTTGTTGATCGGTAGGCACTGTCTTTTGCAAAATCTTTCCTATATTTGCCGGATTTACAAGTTACCAGCACCTCTTTGGCTTCTGTTCGTGCTTCTGAACCCAGAGCCCAGCACCAACACTTGTGACGAAAGCAGGCAGGTCCCAGGAAGGTGCAAGCTCGGACCTCAAGTGATAGAGGAGCACCTGCTTGATGCACCACACCAAGTAATCCGCATCTGGCAGCTCTGGCCAAGAACCCCAAAGCGATGTCGAACGTCCAAAGCAAATTCATAACAAGAGGTAGTCCGCAGTCGTGTCTGTGGGGGAGTTTAAGACTAATTCTGCAAGCTCGCAGCCCTCCATCCGGGTTTGTGTTGCTCAGGTCATGTGCAGTGGTGGCCACTTCAGGGTGGTGGCTGAAGTCACAGTAACGGAAGCAGAGCAATCTTTCGAGGTGCTGGACATTCAGTTCCTGTGGCACCCAAGTTGTGCTCTTTGATGGTGTGGGGTTCGGGGCTTCGGGGTTGGGTTGGGTGCGTAATTAGTGGGGAATGAAACACCCACCGGATATAGTGATTCCTCAGCGTTCCTTCTAATGAGTCAAGATTACTACTTGCATTGTGCGGTTCGACTCTGTCCAGAGTAAAAAAAAGATAGAGAGCCTTCGATAGGCAGAACTACCAAAGTATGCTATGTAGGACTACGGTTTGTCTGAGTAAGCATAGCTATGACGGCTATGACCATGTCCTAAATCTTACGAGCACCGAGTTCAAATTAAATTCTCACAATCCCACACATTAAAATTGGACTACTTTTGGAGTATAGGATCTAATTATGGACCGTACCAGAGATTGAAAATAAGCCCTGCGCCCCTGAGTCCGAACACCCGAAACCCTCTAATGCTCTAGACCACAAGCCCTAAAGCTTAAACCCCAAACCCTCAAAGGCCCTAAATACATTGAGCCGCAAGCCCCCGAAACCCAATAACAGAATCAGACCGAAACGCGCATCCCAGGTTCGAACCTAGCAAGCCGGTAGAAGTTCTCTGGAAGCCCGAGATGATCCTGTCGAAGTGCCACTTAGACGGTTTCAAGTTTAGGGGTTTAGTATTCAGGGTTTTGCGTTTTGGGGTTGACGATTTTGGTTCAAGTTTCTAGGGGTTAGGGACTTTGGGCAAAGGGTGTCACGAGGCTTGGAATGAATCTATCACGGGATCTTGAGGGGTTGATGCTACGTTGTGGGGTTTGGGCCCAGGGGTTTCAGATGAGTTCGCAACTCCGATGGGTCCAAGGAAGCACTTATAGAACACAATCCCAAGAAAAAGAATGGGTATGGGTATTGGTTGAATTCTATAGTCGGTCCGTATCTAGAGGCACACACAAATTATATATATAGAGAGATGTAAAACGTATATGTGTGCATGCAGTATGTAATAATTTGTATACATATGTATAGACCGATAGATATGCGCATGCATGTATCTGTGTATGTGTATGAATATATATATATATATATATATATATATATACATATAGATGCATACACACATATATACATATATATATATATATATATATATATGTACGTACATACTCATACTTATATACATATATACATATATATATATATATATATATGTGTATGTACACACATACATCTACATGCTAAATACGTGAGTGTGCATATATATATATATATATATATATATATATATATGCATGTGTGTGTATATGCAACATCCCTAACTCATAATCTAAGATTACAATTTAATTGAAAATGTTGTAATAAAATATAACAAGCTGCAATATGTTATAGCACATTATATCACATTAGAGTATATCACAATATTGCATGTCGGAATATACCATAGCCTTCATCAATAAAGCATGCTGCAACATGTTTATAATTTGCAATATTGAATGTCAAAAATCACAGAAAACCTGTATCTAAACATATTATGTGTACATATGAAAACAATATAGTCTAATATCAAGCGGTATACTGATTATTATATCGAGTATCATAATGTCATATAACATAGTGTCAGTTTTAGTATTAGTATAGAATATTGTCACATAGGTTTTTATGCCACATAATCTATGATGTGAAACATGGGCTCTACTATCTATCTATCTATCTACCTACCTATCTAGTGCATGTGTGTATATATATATATATATATATATATGAAATATTACGCGATATATTTTCCGTCAGAATTAAGTTTCAGATTGTAAATATAATATATGTATATATGGCTATACATACATAACACATTGTGCCCTGCATAGTACACAGTATTATGCATATACATGCATATACATATCTGTTTATGTATATTACAACATACGACACAATACAATCTGATTAGCACGGTAATTGAACATAAGAAAGCATAAACTACACCACGAACTATAGGATAATATGATGTAATTTAACCAACAGTGAAACACAAGATAACGTAATTTCACATCATGTAATATAATGGAATACATTGTATATATATATATATATACACACAGCCACATATGAAAGCATGTCGGTATTCATCGATATAGTGGTACTTGTACTAGATTGGCCGCCTCAACTGTTTTACAGGGTACAGATAGCCCATGATCCGTTTATTTTGTTTGTTTCACTGTTGTCTCGATGGCTAAGGCCGAGACGCCAAGGTGCGGCGAGCAGGCAAGAAATACCAGAAGAAGACTCTGGGCTGGGGCAATGTTAGGGCTAAGTGTCGTAACCTTAGTGGGGGATTTTAGGGTGAAGGTTATTGAAGAGTCCAGACCACTTTTTGTTCTCTGCTGCCTGCAATGAGCTTGCTAAGGATCGGTCCTCTAGGGCGGAAATAGAGGGCCGTTTTGCATTAGGGTTGAGTGCTGGCGTTGTTCAGGATTTAGTATCTGGGTGGACTCGACCACCATGATTTGCGCCTGCAAAGTTGTGAATCAACTTCGACGGGCAACGCCTTGTCCATTAGGCCCATTGGGCTACTGGGTCTTGTACCTGTTTTTCATGAGATGCTGAGGTGCGCGCAGGTGTCCACGCAGCCCTAAGCCATGTGCGTGACCACTGGAGTATAAAAGGCAGCCCTATGCTTTGTCCGGAATTCGTAATCCCCAATGTCCCCCAAAAAACAGAAAAACATCGTGGCTTCGAGGTTTGGGTTTTGGACGTAGCTTGTGCTGGACCCCTCTTGTAAATCCCTAAGCCCGATTGGAATTTGTGTCTCGGCCTTGTGCATCTGACCCAAGGAAGATGAGATCCATGCGCACTCACGCGTTGGAGGGCGTTGAGGAGGATAAGCCAGACACGGCGTCTGACGTTTTCATGGAAGACCTGAGATGTGAGCGGAGCTGCCGATCTTGGCCCTGAAGGCAGTAGAGTTGGGCCGAGCTTCCTGCTAAACTGCCAGCACGTTCTGTCTCAGACGATCTTAGTCGGCCGCAGCTGCAAATATGATTGAAACAGTTCTCTGCACACAGAATGCGGGTTTGTGGTCTCGATGAGAGCTGTTGCTTAGTCGGTCAAATGGGGGGAAGCACATGTATGGCAATGCACGGGCTCACTGCTAGGGCCATCGTGGTAATCCGAACATCGCAACAAGTAAGCTTTGATGGCATCTCTTCTTATTCTCGGGCAAACAGCCGAGACGGCATCGGTACAGCCGAGATTCTAATGTCCAGTTCAATACATGTGCCTGTCTAGGACTCCTACTAAGTCCTAGTAAGACAAACTACTATGTTATGGAGTCTTACTTTACCACACGGCTGATCCAGTGTGCGATGCTAAACGTAAAGGGGATGACGAGCAGCGGGGAGTTATTGTTGCCGATTGCGTCGAAGCCTTGTGAACAGCCTTTGCACAGCAGCTGTTTGTGACGCCCAGGCGGATCTAGTTGAATGCTGGGGCAGTTTGGTCTTCGGAAGTGCCGAACCCTTAACACTTCAACGGCCCAGAGTGCGTGAGGAAATGGCCCAAAGCGTGGCCAGTTTCAGTACTATGTCTTATAATTAGCTTCTAGACCTCCAGGCACTTCTTATCGCCAGGATTGAAGTGTTATAAGGGGGAAGCTCCAAAGTCCCAACGGCAAGCCGAGCGCACGGCCTGCATTGAACAGAAGGCCGGTGTCTCTGCAGCCTTGGGCAGAAAGATCTGCGTAGCGTGCTGAATCCTCGGGTAGAAGTCTTGCACATGCAGGGCTTGGGTTTGCGTTTAGAGATCGCTAACGAAGCTTGTTGCAGAATGGCGGTTCAAAAAACAACTCGTCTAACTTGAGTTGCCTTTGTTTTTTAGCTCGAAGATTCTTCCGACGTGGTTTGGCCATCGTCTTGTCTAGATCGGCGTGCAGAGGATGCATTAGGCCGATTCACGCGAACTCTTTCATTTCATAGTTTTCTTCGCTTAGCAAAGCTTCGCACAGTCGTCTGCATTCTTGGAGATGAGTCCGTTTGCAGTCGACCGGTGCAGGCTTGAGTCTCAAGAGTTTCGACGGTGCGGAAAGCACGGCCATAATGCATGGTTTGTGCTTCTGCTGCCGACAGTAGTGATTTCCGGCCAGGCAGAGCACCACCCAAGCAGCAACCAGTCTGGGATGATCGCTCCCGAAAGTCAGGAGTATACTTAAACCTTAGATTTTGAAACTGTCTATTTGGTTTCAACTTCCAGAAACAAGCGAGTGCTCTGCAAGGGGTTGTGCCTTTGATTTTGGCCCGACGGTTCATAAGCGACCGCTTGGCGACTACCTCATCCCGTTTCAGTTACCGGAGATGTATAAGCTTCAGGTTTCTGCAGGCACCGTCCAGGCCTAAAAGAAAATGCCCAAGCCTTGCACTGATTCTAACGAATGAACACTATACATGCTTTAAATTACAAGCCCCAAGTCTTAAGCCCAGAGGATTCTGTTGTGAACACAGGACGTGAAGTGCAGAATTAGTTCGATGATTTGCCGGGTGAAGCTTTGCACAGCAACTTGCAGTCGGAGACGCAAACCCCATCTAAAGGCGACTTACGCGTGGTTTGCTTGCCAGTTTCGCACCTGCAAAAACACCGCACACTTTACTTCCGCAGTAGAACCAGAACAGACGAGCACTAAAGCCAATTCTCCGAAGCCTAAGACTCCGCAGCATTTGAATCTAGATGTGTTTGCCCTGAACTTCTCCCGGAAACGACAAGCTTTTGCGAGAAGCACAGTCACTTGTTTTTCAGGGTTTCCGGGCTCCCAGGTGAATCGAATACAGCCGGGCAATTATCTTTTTTGTCTCGGGATTTTCAGGGGATGATATCCAGACTTCTTCCTTACGCATGTTGCTGCTGCAGGCTGAAGATAGCTGGTCTCCCGAAGTGTCCAAAGTCAAGAGCCCGATTGCACGGCCCATTCTCGGTGCCTTCGCGGCCAGACGTTCTGTAGCATTTCAGATATGTGGATTTAATGATATACAGTAGGATTTCCGGGTTGAGGGCGTGTAGGGCCGGAAGGAGAACCAGATGACTCCAGATGACGACCTGGCTTGCGTGTTGGTCTGACGTCCCTGCGGCGAGGAGAAATTTGTGGACTGTTGGCTTGAGCGGGAGCGGGTAGTTCTTGGAGGAGCAGACAAGTTAAAGTGAATTTCGTATTAGTCGTTGTTCTACGTATTCTAGTTCGCATTGCCCCTACCTTCGTTTGTGTAACCAAAGGCCTATCTTGCCCATGTCTCGTGCTTGTGTGCATAGAGCTATCGCGATTGCTGTCAGTCTTGGGAATGATTTTTCCAAGAAAATCTTCTTCATCCCTTGTCCTCCGGCCTTGAAGCCTTGAAGCAAAGATCTGCTACCTCGAAACCCGGAGCTAGCCCTACACCCTCTAGGGTATGAGGCTTACGGTTAAGGGTCGAAGAAACCGTTTTAGACCTTCCCTCTGTACGTTCTGAGGTCGTCCACTGCGTGATCCCTGGAAGGCGGCCTTTCACAACGAGCAGAGCCAGCAGAGTTATTCTGGGAGTAAGATATACAGTTTCAGCTCATATGAGTCATACGAGCTTTACGGCAGTCGGCTTAGAGTGAGTGATATGGCTTCGATACAAACCCCTATGGACCGAAACTATCGACCCCAAGAATATGAAGAGCTCGATGTCCTCGAGCCCTTCCTGTACTCGCGCGCTTGAATCCAAGGGTAAAAGGAGGGACCCTCAATAAGGACCCCTAGGCATATACCCTCAAATATAGCTATTATATAAACATTATATAGCCCATTATAGGGTAGGGGTCCCCATTAAGGGTCCCTCCTTGTCCCCTTTGATTGAAGGATGTCTAAGGTCAGAGCCGAAGTTCCCAGTGCTGCACAGCAGGAGCAATGCGGTAGGGAGGCTACGCTTTCAAGGTCAGGTTCCCCTAAGGCTCCATGTACCCATATAGAGATACATGAGCCCCAAAGTACCTATATCGGGACTACATTAAGGCCAATGTATATACTATATGAAAACATGGACCGTTAGGGTTCATGCAATGTCATTCTGCGCATGAAGAGGCATATCTGCAACTTAGGGAATGGAGTGCTATTTTTCCACCGAGTCTATTCTACTCTAAAGTCGCCCTGAAAACTGGAGCCATTATCAAGAGCTGGCAGGAGCGGAAGCTTCAGGACGAAGGCTCTTCGTGTCGCTCTGCAGAAAAAGACCTGCAATGCAGATGTAATGCCTCGACATCGGGTTGTTTGAGAGTTCCCAGGGGCAGGTTCGGTGTCAGTTTTACCAGACCATTTCAAGGAGGGACAATGTAAATCCCGGAGAAGGGGCATCCTACCAATATGTGGGGTAGGTCCGATTTCTAGGGTTTCCGTGAAGCGAGTTCCGCGCCCCACGCGCATCAGCATAGTAGCGGGCGGCTACTGGAGTCCGCTATATTCTTTGTGATTTGCTCGTTGGATACACGACCACTGGAGTCTGGAGTCAGCTGTGTTCTGTGTTATTTGCTCTTTGCATACACGACCTGCAAGGCCCAAGCCAAAGCCGTAAAGCCACCGAGTGGCTAAAGTGCTTCATTCAAGTTAACAAACACGGCATACATAAACCCTAAACCCTCAACCCGAAAACCTATAAACCCCAAACCCCGAAACCTAAACCCTAAAAACCTTAAAACCGAAAACCTAAGCTTTCCGAATGCCCGACCATCTTGAGCCTTTGCATGCACCTTGCGCCCATTGCAGAGCAATGCCTGCCTCCGTGCCCGATGCGCGGCCGTGCCAACAGGCGCGGAGCTGTGCGGAGGATTCAGTGGCTTCGTCTTTGGTGCAGAGGGTTCGGCGTTTGGTTACGTGTGGTCTTGTTATGGCACTTTCTTCCTGCTGCCAGTCAACAGAATGTCGGGTGCAGAGGGTTCGGCGTTTGGTTACGTGTGGTCTTGTTATGGCACTTTCTTCCTGCTGCCAGTGAACAGAATGTCGGGTCAGCAATGCCGCAAAGTTCTTCCCTAAACTTGGTAACTTCGGGATATGACATGAACAGTTGCAGCCTCGTGGTTCTGGGGGGCGGTTTGTTTAAGTTAGCGTGCTTGGAGGGTCGGGGGACTTAGTAAGTAGGTTTTAAGTAGACTTATAAGTACCCTAAAAGGGACCCTAATTGGGGTCATGGTACGTATAAGTCCCTAAAATAACCAGTTACCTCCAAGTCAAGTAGAGTTCGGGGTTCCGGCTCTCGGGTGTTGGGCTCCAGGAGTCGTCTTCCGGTGATGATCGCCTGACCCGAAGGGTCCATGTATTCATATAGTATATACATTGGCCTTAATGTAGTCCCTATATAGGTACTTTGGGGCTCATGTATCTCTATATGGGTACATGGACCCTTAAAGTAAAAGCCAGAAAGTTGGAATATGATGATCCTAAACCCTTTACGGTAAATTATAAGGTATCCTACCCTGAAACCATATGGGTACATGGACCCTTAGGGTGACCCAGCCCAAGCTCTTCTGCAGGCCCTGCGCACCTCAACCTGAAATCTCGAGCCTTAAGCTACCCGGAGGCCCTGAAAGACCCAAAAACACCTTAAACTGGAAAACCTTAAACCCAAGCTTAACCCCTAAACTCTAAACCCTCCAAGATCAAAGACCTTTTAAATTCTCGTCCGGCCTTTTTAAGCTCAAAGAGTCCGTCATCTGGGACAGGTCGGAGCGGTCACGGCCATCACGAAATCCATCCGGGCGGCCAAAGACTCTGTGCTCGAGTTAGACACCCGAAGGGGGTGGTTGTCAAAATGTTGGACTCTTTTGGGGGTGCCTAATATCATACGGCGCCTACTACTTTAGGGTACCCGAAAAGGGACCATGATGTTGACAACTACCTGAAGGATCCTATGTACCAATACGGAGGATACTTCCATAGGACCCTTTGGGCGAAGGCTTTCTACTACTGGCATTCGGATTAGCTGTCTTATGTATGGACTACACAGGAATCCTACCGCCAGCTATTCAGACCCCGACGTAGTAGCACTCGTTCTCCGAGTGGTTTGGGGTTGAGGAGCTTGTGTTCTCGAGGTGTCAGAATTCTTGCGCAGGACGGGTGCAAAATGGGGTTGAGGTTTCTGGCCCGCGTACTGAGTTGGTTTTGCGAATTGCGGGTTGCTGTGAAAAGCAACTCTGCCTGCATGCAGCCACGAGGCCTTAAAGCTCGCCGAAGCCATAATGCAGTACTAAGAGTTCAACTTAAGCTCCGCTGCAAACCCTTTTCAGTCTCATGGTATAAGTAAACAAAACGTCTAAGAACACAAACTCAATCGCCCCAACTTGAACTTTAGCCCTGAGCCTCAAGCTTAAACTCCATACACTCCGCAACCCTATAGAATGTGTGTTTTTCTTACGTGGCCTCCAGACCAGGACAGCTCCTTCTGGAAGGAGGCCCAGGGAACGGCCACTGCCTTAACCACGCGAAGCCCCAGCCTTGTCAAGCCCGAACCCGTGACCCCAAGACTCTACGGGCACGAATCTCGCTCGTGTAGTCCGTGGGCTGAGGATTCCTAAAGCTCATACGAGCCCACTACGTAGTGGTATGCCGCACACAATCCCAAGATCCACCTAGACCGCCCTACACTCCCTAACTATAGGGGCCTCAATAGTTACCTATACTATTTGGGGGGGTTCTTAGTATATAGCTATAGTAAAGTGGGCCCCAAAGCCCTATTCTAATTGTTCAGGCCCCCAGATGCTGGCTTGGGGTGCCCTTTCAATCCCCGTCTAAACGCCATTGTGGCACCCCACATGACCTTACAGAAAGCCTTTTCAGCCCCCTGCATATCCAGGAACTCCGTCGTCCCTAAAAACCCTCAATTCACACCCAGAGGCCCCAAAGTAGTGCCTTTTTGGGGTTCATATCTACTATAAGACTATAAGGTAACCTCAAAAAGGAACTATATACTACTATGGGGCCTCTGGGTAAGGCCCCACAAAAGCTTCCAACCCGCTATTGCTTCGGAACTCCCTTTGCCCTACACGATCCTAAACGCCAAACGACAACACAAGTAGCTTTCTAAACCGCCACAGCACTGATTATTAAGGCCCATATGATAGAACCCTTATAGTAGCCCTTTTAAAGGAACCTTGAAGGAACCCTAATTATTGGGTCCTCTGGACCCCTCCCTCGATGCAGGCGCTTCGGCTCCTCTCCGACCTAGAAGGCCGCTCGTAAGGGGGCGAGACGTCGTGAAGGGTTTGTCGATTACACTTGCGGCCTTGATAATTAAGTTAGAATGAATATAGGTTTTTGGCCAAAATCGTATATGTAATTCTTAAGGCCCCTATGGTAGCCCTACTTCTGGTTCTCTTAAAGAGGGACCTCAGTGAGCGGGTTCATATCTCCAAAAATCCTTCTAATCCTAACCTCTAGCCAAAGGCTTGGAGCTCCGCCACGACGGCCGCTCTCTCCAGCCCCAAAACAATCTTCAAATCCTTGAGCCTGAAATCGGTTCGGGGTTTAGGGTCAAAAAGGGGTCACACCCCACACCCTCAATGTTGGACCCCCAAACCCTTACATCCTCTAAACCGAAACCCAGAAGTCCACAATGGCCCACAACATGGGCTAGCATGCTGGTTGAAGGCTCCACCAACTCTTCCTGGTTGAGAGCCTTCTGCACTCTCCTGATTTCTCGTTTCAGGATACACCTTCCCTGAGGTTTTGTTATTCTCTGGAAAAACCATCATCCGCACTCGCTAAACCGCAGACGCATATTCCCGATACACGCAGCAACAGCCGGGCAGTTTAATCCCTTTCTAGCTCTAAATAAAACCCCCACCGTTTACACCCTAAGCTGTTTTAACCCTATAAGGCTATAAACTTTTAAACCCTAAACTTGTGCACAACAGTACATTAAACCCCAAACTCTGAACTTTTGAAGCTTGAATTTCTAGACCCTAAACTTTTAAACCCTAACCCCTGAACCCCCGAACGAAAGGGCCCCATCCCTTTCTAGGCGACGCCCTCCGGCCGACCGGCATGGCCTATGGCTTTGCCATCGGCGCCTGCGAGAAGCTCCTCCCACAGAAACAAAGGGGATACACGGGATGTAGGGTTTAGGGGTTTAGGGTTCAGGGGTTGCTTAGGGTTTAGGGATTTAGGGGTTTGGGAGTTTAGGGCTTCAGTGCTTTTAGGGTTTGGGATTCAGGGACATGAATACACCACATGATCCGGTGTCGAACCCCCAAAGTTTGTCCCCAGGGGTTTGCGGGCATATTCCGAAAGACATCCCCGAAGATAGGGAAGCAACTTGAAGTATATAGTACTTATGGATTGTCAATTTAAGAACACTTCTAGTCAGTGTTTGGTGTGTAACTTGTGACTATATGTAGGGATGTTACTTGTGTTGAATGCTAGCTTCTGTGTAGCCATACAATAGTCGTAGCCACTGCCCTTTCTTCATGTCCCCAACACTGCATTTGGGGTTTCTCGGGTCGGTCGAGTTTGTCCGTCTTCAACATGCTCGGGGCTGAAATTCGGAATTCAACGTATGTAGAGTCTGTAGTGTCTTGTGGTTGCATTCATTGGCGAACCGAACCGGAAATTGCCAGGGGGTTTCAAGGTTCAAGAGGTAAGGCTTGGAGTTGAGGGCACACGGTTTAGTATGGCAGTTGGACTGCAATCTGCGGTTGAATCTTCAGGGCTTGTGGCCGGGCCACGCTGCGGCATCGCTTGTCGACACACCGCAAGATGCAGTCCAGGTCTCACAATGCCCGGAAGGTGCAGCTCTCAAGACTGAACACTAAACTACCCAGAGGCCCCAAAGTAGTTCCTTTTTGGGATTACCTTATTATACCATTCTATATGTGAAAGCCCAAAAAGGAACTACTATGGGGCCTGTGGGTAGCACACCCTCAGGCCCTAAACCTTTCAAGCCCCTAAGAGCTGATGAGTGCCCCGAGACTCTGAAGCCCTTTCGATTGAGGCACAACTGCCCCTGCAAGCATAGCACTATGGACCTACAATATAGTCAACGAAAAAGCAAGGACCCATGGTCGAACTATATGGGTAGTTTTCTAAATTAGGATCGCCTTGTTTGGATCCCCAAACTAGTACGGCACGCTTCTTTCACAAAGGAGCCCAATAAGGGACCCTATAGTTTAGAGAGGTATACCTATATATTGCACCCTAAACCCTAAACCTTAAACCCTAAACCTTAAACCCTAAACCTTAATCCCTAAACCCTAAACCTTAAACCCTAAACCTTAAACCCTAAACCCTATAAACCTTAAACCCTAAACCTTAAACCCTAAACCCTAAACCCTATAAACCTTAACCCCCGAAGATCCGAGCCGGCTCTGAGGGCCGGGGCTCCTCAGAGCGCCCTGCAGCTCATGCACCGCAGCCGGGAGAAGAGGCGACTTTGCGTCGGATTTCAGCATTTTTGCAGGGTGCGGGGGAGCCCCTAAGCGGAAATCCCTCTTAGCCCAAACCCACCCTTAGTACCCCAAACCATCCTAAACCCCTATATACCGTAAGCTGCAGGAGGTTCGGTCCAGAAGATGTGAGCTTCAAGAGTTACTAGCAATCTGTTTTCAGTGTCAGTACCCCTCACTACAGGCCTAAAATGCCATATGTATGCTGGCCTCCGAGAAGACCTCGCCTCTGCACTCACCCCCCCTCCAGCCGCAACTCTAAACCCTTGAACCTTACCCTAAGACTCCAAATAGCCCAAAGTAGGTAGCATTTATATAGACTTTAGACCCCAAAGTAGGTACTATTTGTATACTTGGAGTCTTAGAAATTAGTTCCTTCATCGTATAAATGTACACCCGACAGAGTCTGTTCTGCATCCGAGACCCGAAGTCGTAAACCCTAGACCGTGGACCCTCACTCCCAAGGTTTAGACTGCTCTAAAAACACGATTTCTTTGCCAGGCTGGAACTAGACGTGATCTCCTTCAATGTGGCATTGAGCGCTTGCAGAAAGGGCAGCCTCTGGCAGTCTGCGGTGCAGCTGCTCAGTGAGATGGAGGCGACCTCATGTCATCGTGACTTTTTTGTGCTGTTGCGTTTCTTCGCTGGTTTTGATTAGTTAGAAGTGTTCCTAGTATGGTCTGGGCTCATCTAGAGCTGAGGGCCTCAGGGGTGCGAAGGGTTTGATACGAGCTTTGGGCCAAAAGCCTGCAGTTTCTCTAGAGCCCCAGCTGCACTTGAAGTGTCTCTGGGGTTCGACAAAACTCCTGCGCAGCATCCCATTTTCTGAGTTTTTTTGCAGCAATCGATCGTTAAGGGCCAAAATTTTATTGCAATGGGAAGGCGCCAGCTGATTTTATGGGGTTCGGAAAGGGTCCGCAGCTCTGCACTGCCTGGATTCCAATGGTATACGTTTTTCGGGTTTGGGCTCTAGGGGGTGGGGTCTATCTATAGTCGAGGTAATTAGAGGATTGCCAAACATGCCTGAACCCCGCACCCTAAAGCCACTCTACAATATAAAGCGATGGGCGCTCGCTTGAGACCCTAAACTTTATCCCCGATATGCCAGGCACCTGACATTGTGTCTTTCAACTCCACCTTGGGAGCCTGTGCCGCTTGACCTGCAGATGTGAGGTTTAACTTGCTGAAACCCAAAAGCCTACATGTAGAGGGTTTGAGGTTGGAGGGCCCGGGCCCAAGCTTTCGATAGTACATCGCACAGCCCTACTTGGAGGATCATGGGACTTAGTAAGTAAGGTTATAAGTACCTTACTTGGGGTTATAGGTAGTTAAAGGTGTAGTTACCCTAATATAATAACGTTAGTTACTATGTCCCATGATCCTTTAAGTAGCGCTAGTGGCTCTCAGGACAAGGGGGGGCAATGGCGCGTGGCCGTGGCATTGCTGGAGGCATTAGAAACACGGAGCCTCAAGGTGGACAAGATCACGCGCCTCCGGCAAGTTGAAAGTTTCTTACCCTAGGGATCTAAGGACTCAAGAAAAAATGCTTATTTGGGACCAAAGACCATACTACACGCGGCGTTTGTGCTATTTTGATCGCTAGGTTTAGAGTTTTCGCATTATGGGGTGTTTTGGTTCAGGATCGACTGGGTTTTGGGCTTACGCTTCAGTATTTGGGCTTGCGGGCTTAGTGTTTAGGGGGTTGGGTTTCAGGCTTTAGGCTCTTTGGGTTCAGGGTTTAGTATAGGGTTCAGGGCTATCTTGTTTAGGAGCTTTACCATTTCAGCTCATCAGTGTTTTGCTCATAGTGCAGAGGCTACACATCTGGCTTTCGGAGGGGCTCAGAAGTCTGCTGAGAAGTCTCGGCAAAGGGGTTATGGGATTTTGCGAAAATTCTGGGACCTAATATGGTACCCTAAATAGTAGGGTCCTTATTATAAGGACCCCAAAGGAAGGTACCCCTAAGTTTCAAGTATTGATCATCAGCCTTCTCTAAAGCTCCGGTATCTTATTGCTAAGCCAACACCTTTAACTTCAAATCCGACGCCTAGACTCCGGACCCTGAGTCTGAACCTGACATCCCAAATCCTTAGGGTTGAGGGTTTAGGGGTCTAGGGTTTAGGGGTCTAGGGTTTAGGGTTTAGGGATGATCAGCAAGGTACAGCACCATCATCAACACCTGCGGTCGCTCCGAGGAGTGGATACAAGCGTTGAGTCTTCTGGGAGCTTTGTCCGCAATCTGCGGAGTGCCTGTAAGTAGAGACTCCAATATCCCTTAATAAGGAATATACCTCAAATTTTAGTAGGATCCCATATATGATTTAAGGAATATTCCTTAATTAAGGGATATTGGAGTCTCTGGGCTTTACACACCATCCCTGCGGCTTAAACTTCAAAGCCTACAGCCCAAAAGCTTCGACCCTCAACCTTGCAATCTGACATGCAGACTTTGGTACGCAAAGACCCAATGCTTCGGATGTTGTTGGCTTCAGGGTTCAGGATTCAGGCGACTCTGCACGGAGCCCCAGGATTCTATGGTGGAAGCAAGCATTTGCTCAATTCTAGAAGTTTTGTGTAAGATCTTGGAAACAGTCGCACATCCTGGGGCCCGATCCTGAACAAGAAAGTCCTGAACCCCACACCCTAAGACTCTAAGCCTTGCACTCTATAAGCCCAGATCACGCCCATCAGCGCGGAGTTGCGATCGACCTCGTTCTGCTGAACACACTTGTGACGGCCTGTGAACGAGCGAAGGAATGGCGCCTTGGTTCACAGCGGAGATTACACATGTGCAGGCTTCTTTGCTTAAGGGTCCCTATCACAGCGACCCCAGGGTTCTGCTTTTGTGGTTCATTATTTCCGGAAACTCCCATGTATGGTCGCTGCACGCATAGCTCCCGAAATCGATCTAGGCTACACTCCGTCTATAGTTTACACTTGCAACATGGGACCCAGTGGCTTTCTGTGGCTAATGGATGGCTTGGCTGATTCAGGGTTGATGGTTGAGGCTTCCGGATTAGGGCAATCGTTGCTGAAGCTTTTCGGACTGACCTGGGACTCCCAAATACTCCCTTGTTTTGCAGGTGGTACTGCTGTGGATTTTCGAAGTCACATGACAAACCGTCATTATAAAAACTCAAAGGACGTGTTGCTCGGATTTGGCGGGAAAAGCTTTCAAACCGCAGAACCCTAAACCGCAGCCCAAGACAAGGAAAACCATTCATGAGCCTCCACTCCGTCCTGAACTCTTAGTTTGAAAGCAACACAGGGCATTCAACAACGGCCAACCAACCTGAAGCATGAACATCCAAAAGCACGAGCATATATCAAAAGAGTAAGCTCAAACATGCCTTGGCCAAAGCAATCGTATAATAATCATAATGGTACAGTAGTAGCTTAGTAGCAATACTGACAATCAAACAGCCAAGCACGAACGAAGCCTTTTTCCGCAGGCAGCAGGCGATTCGCCTTATGGAGCTGGCAGAGTCTTCCAATCTTTGCCCTGACGCCGCTGTGTCCGCATTCTCTGATGACGAAGGGGGGAGGTTAGAGTTTAAAGGTTTAGAGTGCAGGGTTTAGGGGTTTAGGAAGCCCATGCGTTCGAGGAGGTGGGTACACAATGGGAGGGACCCGGCTGATGCTGGCCCTTGTAACTAGGGCCTTGTAGCAGTTCACAGGGTCTTAGGGCTTCGTGGGGGTCGATTGGTTCTTGCTTTTTGTTCCGGTAGGAACGGTACTGAGGGTCTAAATACTCCTGATAACCAACAGGAATGAGCAAGGATTATCTCAATACATACGGACGTGTTTTTCTTACGTGGGTGTTGGAGAAACTTCTCGGCGATGTGACTACCTCCAGTGGGGTAATTAAAGCTCACGTTCAGGTTCACGGTGTAGGCTTGCGATGTAAAGGTTCTCCAGTGGCAAACTTTCTGGTATCCGAGTTGAAATGTATAGAGAGCCTCACTGCAGACAAACAGGACGAACCGTATATGTATGATTTATAGCACTGCCACCTGGAGCAGACGCAGGAAATCACCTGCAGCGCCGCCATCAGTGCCTGTGGCAGCTGCAGCCAGCTGGCGCTAGCAACTGGGCGAAATTTACGAGGTTCATTCCCATCATGACTGCACACCTCCATTGATGATGAACCCGCACACCTTGAACCCTTACTGATTTCACCCTCGACCCGATAACCCTAAACAGCTGGTTAAGGCTTGAAGTCACATTTCCGTCTAAACAGCAGCAATCAATGATTGAATTCAATCAACGACGGCTTAGCCGGGACTCATCCGCCAGGCTCTTTCTCTTCTGGAGGAGACAGAGATCAGGCAAGTTCAGCCCAATGACGCTTGGGCAAAGAAGTTTAGGGGGCTTGGACTCATAGTCATTCCCAGTAGAACCCTACACCCTAAACCCTAGACCCTAAACCCTAAACCTTCGTTTAGGGTCTAGGGTTTATATTTATATTTCATCGAGAGATCCTGGCAAAGAAGTTTACGACGGGAGGTCCGAGCCCAGCCTCACCCCCCCTTCCCCCGAAATCACACGACGAAGCCACCCAAACCAATGAGTCTTGAACTAGCTTAGGGTTACCGTAAGGCCCCAAAGTAGTGCCTTTTTGGGATTCATCTTTAGAATCTTATGAGGTGACCCCCAAAAGGAACTGCTATGGGGCCTATGGGTAAGGATAGGGTGCATGGTTAATCTTCATGGATTTAGGGTGTAAGTGTTCAGGGTCTCGGATTTAAGGTTGGGGCTCCCCGGCCCTGCAACCAGTGGAGCAGACACCACACCTTGTGTAGGCGGTTCCAGAGAGCCTTAGCATGTAATCCCCGAATCGCCGCAGCCCAAAACCCTAGACCCTAAACCCTTTTAACCCAGAACCCTGCGGGCCCAAACCCCTAAACCCTAAACCCTTTTAACCCAGAAACCCGCGTCTCTCCGCCGTGTTTGTGCCCAGGTGGTAACACTCAGTGCGGCAATTACCGCCTGTGAGAGCCTGGGAGACTGGCCACAGGCCGGGAATTTCTGATCTCTGAGTGTTGGGTGAGGGACTAGAGTCTTAGTGTTTGAGTACCATACTGTAGTGTTTAAGGTTTCGGGGTTTAGGATTTATATTAGGGTTGATAGTATTAGTGTTGAGAGGTTTAGGGTGTAAACCACAGGATTGCGAATCTGCTACCCACTGCTGCTCTCCAACCAAAATGTAGTTCCTCGTTTCTTGCGTAGAGGGTCCCAACCACCAGACGGGTTAACCAACAGCGGGAATTACGTTGAAGAGTGTAAGGCGGGCTGTGGAGGGGAACTTAGCAAGGCCCTCAGCCCTGAACCCAAACGCTAACAGGGGTTCGGGGCACACACGGTTTCATGCAACGAGTTCATTTAGCAGGAACTATCAACCCTTATATGGGTGGTTGTCAAAGTTAGGCTCCCTTTTTGGGTCCTTATAATAGTACGGCACCCAATATTTAGGGTACCCAAAAAGGGACCCTAATTTTGACAACTACCCATATAGCTCCGGGGATGCCACCTTATGGCAGCTTCCCTTGACGCACAAGCCTCAAAAACTTCTCTACGTCTACGTTCCATGGAATTGTGGGGGGGTGGTTACAGAACACTTAAAGGGGCCAGCGAAACGGAACAACAAACCATGGTAAATCCTTAGCCCTGAAACGAAACACATCAAATTGGAACCCTAAACCTGCACAGAAGCCAATAATAAGAGCCGAAGAGGCTTTGAACCTCCTGGATTCGATGCATGTCCGTGCTCTGCCGCTTGGATGCACCCTCCAACACTCCAAACCGAACATACTTTAACACAGTATAGAGGGTTTATTGTGCTGATTAACGAATATGCGTTGAACCGCAGAGGGCTTCTCAGTTTGTTTCAAGCTGCACTCATTAGGAGTTTCTGCGCCTTAGTCGTAGATAAGCTTTAAATGGGTCTCTTATGGCCCCTGACACAGTTAAAGCAGAGTAAACCCCAAAAGCCTAGTCCAATTAGAAAAGCCTATATAGTATATAGTACTCGCCGATTATGTATGTAAGTCAGTGGGCTACTTGGGCAGGCTGTTCATTCATGGGCTTGTTCAAGTCCTAGGTTCCTGAGTTGTACCCTTTTCGCTTTTGTACTTGTTCAGGTCTCCTGATGAGAAGCGAACAGCCCAAAAAGAGGGTACCCTTATTTTAAAGGCGCTACTCATGAGCTTAGCATCTGCCCAGGCAGCCAACTGTTGTAACCTTCGCAGCCACGATCAGCACCTTCGAGAAGGTTGGCCTGATCGAGGGGTAGGAGTAATCAGCAATATTATCCGCTTGCAGTCCTTAGAACAATAATGTAGAAGGCATCAAAACCCTGCTCGAATGTTTCTGGCTGCTAGATTCGCCAATCGGGCTTAGAGGTTTGGGGTCTTGGCATCTCACTAAACCCCAAACGCCGGACAGGCATCGCAATGGCAGCGAGCAATCTCGCTTCTGCAGACCGCCGAATCCGAGCAGGCAAAACCGAATGCAACTCGGCACGATGTTCGCAGTGCAGTTTCGCCTATATGCTCTCAGCTAGTATCCTTCTCTCTCCCGGGTCCTCCCCCTAATCCCTAAACTTCTAAACCCTAAATCCTAGACCGTAGCACTAGAATGGTTGTTGCGGGTGCCTGTCTTTGCTTTTTGCGCAGAGGGGGGAGACCTCCCTGACAAGTAGAGGCTTGGGTTCAGTAATAGTTGATTAATATTCATAATATGGATATATTAGGACCTCAATAGTAGCCCTATTATGGACTCTTACTGTATGGGGGCAGTATCTAAAGTAGAGGCTCGGGGATTTGTTCGTTACCCTTAGGCCCCAAAGTAGTTCCTTTTTGGGGTTCATACGGCTCATATTTAGAATCTTATGAGATAACCCCCAAAAGGAACTACTATGGGGCCTATGGGTACTTTGTTGTAGGATTCATTGGGTTCCAAGTAGTTTACCTAGGTATCTAAGGACTCATTTATTTAGGCTTTTGGGCCCAAAGACCATACTATATAAGGCTTTTGGGCTATCTTGATCCCTAGGGTTAGAGTGTAGGGTTTCGCACATATCTTAAAGTAAGTCGCTTTGCCTCCGTCTCTTTGTGGTCTGCCGAGGTTGTAGCATACAGCGCAGCCATCAGTGCCTGCGAGAAGGCAGCAAGGCCGTCATCTGAATGTGGCGATGATGTCGACGGTTTGTGGTTTAAGGTTTTAGGGTTTCAGGGGTTTAGGGCTTAAGGTTGTAGGGTTTAGGGTTTGGCTATAAGGGTATGGGCTGGGGGCTTCGTGCCCTAAAGTCTAGACCTAGGACCTAGATCAGCATTTGGTTATACTCTCGGGTCGCACATGGAGTTAAATCCTTCCGAAGCTTCTCCGATCATAGAGAACCCCTCGATACCAGAGGCCGGAGCCCAAACTAGCCCAATAAACCCTGAACACTGAACAAAACTTACACTCAACCTAAATGCAACGTCAGACAACCCGAAGCTCAGTGATCAGGTGGAGCTTCGCAATGCTCCTGTTGGAGCAGCTCCATTCAGAAAGGCCACTCATATGAGGGGAGCCTGACTGTTGGGGCAAGGGATTCGGGGAGGAGGGTCGTGGGCTTGGGGCCCATGGCTTTTCTTTGGTTTAGGATTATTTCGGCTTTAGGGTTTCGTGTATAGGTGAAGGTCTGACGGTCATGGTCCGAGCATGGCTCGATTTCCTCATATTTGCTGTTTCTTGCATTAGATTGCCGGCGGGATCATGGCTGTAGATTTGTTCACTACTCCGAACCGTCAGCCTTACAGGGAACTCCAGAAAGTTGGAATATGGTTTCTTGGTAGGATACACTATAATTTACCATAGAAGGGCTAGGATAATCATATTCCAACTTTCTGGCTTTAGCCTTAACCCCACACCCTACTCCTGAACCTCAGAACATTGGGGTGCGGGGCCCAGAGGTCGACTTCAATCACTACGGTTGATGATATGAATCCTGCATTACCTTAAGGACCCTAAACTATGGGAAGTATGGTATATTCCTTATTAGTATATTCCTTATTATTATGGTAATGCAGGATTTGCACCGTCAACAGAGGACCCTTATTACGAGGTTCCATGAAAACCCGAAGCTGTGAACCCTAGCCCTTCACGAAGCAATCCACTCGTCCCGATGCCCGAGAGACCTATACCCTCCTACTATTTGCTTAAGAACCCCCAAAAAATATAAAAATATATTCCTTATGGGGGTAATATAGGGATTATTATCTTCTATTTTTTGGGTGTTTCTTAAGCAAATAGTAGCCTCAGTCAAGGAATATACCTTGAATCATCGACTCAAGCTTCCCTAAGGGTCCATGTACTCATATAGTATATACATTGGCCATAATGTAGTCCCTATACAGGTACTTTGGGGCTCATGTATCTCCCCAGACCTTCCACAACCCCTTGATTAAGGAATATACCTAAAATTATAGTAGGATCCTTAATATGATTTAAGGTCTATGCCTCAATTAAGGGATTTTGGAAGGTCTGGGTCTATATGGGTACATGGACCCTGAGGGATTCTACTCCAGGGCGCCCTCCTCGCAAGTTGTTTGGACCTCTGGGTTTCCCGGAACCCTGAACCCTAAGCTTAGGGTTTAGGGGTTTAGGGGTTTAGGGGTTTAGGGGTTTAGGGTTTTTAGGGTTTAGGGTTTAGGGTTTAGGGTTTAGGGTTTTTAGGGTTTAGGGTTTAGGGGTAGAAGCCAGAAAGTTGGAATATCATTAAAGGTAAATTATAGGGGATCCTACCATTAATCCATATTCCAACTTTCTGGAGTTCCCTTTAGAGCCTCTCGCTTGCAGTTGAAAGGGTTCTACCTTTGTGAAATCTGCGGGCGAATAGCTCGGTTTAAGTTTAGGATTGAATGAAAGGGTACAATTACAAAGGGGACTGTAGAGCAGTAACAGGTCTGTCGGTGTTTGTAAGGGCTGCTGGCGCTCAAGAAGGTTTATAGGGTGTACTGATTCGTTATAGGTTTACATGAACGTTTATCGGGTGCCGCAGGGTTGCAGAGTTCATCCGTGTTTCTAGGCTTCAGGTTGAGTCAGCGCCCCCTCCCCACGCATATCACCAGTCCCCTTAACTTATGAAGGAACAGTTAAGCCTCGAATACAGCCGCTACCCGCCCCTTCTGGCAACTGTTACTGTCAGGGAGGTTTAATGTAGGGGCCTCAATAATTACCTATACTATTTTGGGAGTTCCTTATGAATTATTATATCATAGTATACTGTGCCCCAAATGGTTTTCCCTGTTCTAATTATTTAAGGCCCCTATATATACCCGGATTATAGCAGTGTTCGAAGAGCGGCCTGATCCTTCTACCGCCTGCTTTGGGCAGTCTGAGCACCCTTAAAGGGGCTCCTAAGCACTCAGATACAAGTACCTTAAACCCTAGGCATCCAAGGACTCATATACCCAGACCTTCCAAAATCCCTTAATTAAGGAATCTACCTTAAATCATATTCAGGATCCTACTATAATTTAATTAAGGTATACTCCTTAATTAAGGGGTTTTGGAAGGTCTGGGTATTAAGGCTTTTGGCCCAAAGACCATACTATATAAGGCTTCTGGGCTATTTTGATGCCCAGGGAAACTACCACAACCTACTTTTTTGTAGGCTCTTATGATGAACCCTAAGATGGGGTTTAGGGACCCTACGAAAAAGTAGGCTTCGGTGGGTTAAGGTAGTCTTCGGGGAGCATCCTAAGAAAAGCCTCGCGGCTTTGTGGTTGGGCTGCAGGTGTTGAGGTCTGCCATGTCCTCGGGTGCGTGGGTCTTGATTATACCCTACAGGGAACTCCAGAAAGTTGGAATATGGTTTCAGGGTAGGATACCTTATAATTTACCGTAAAGGGTTTAGGATAATCATATTCCAACTTTCTGGCTTTTACTTTAAGGGTCCATGTACCCATATAGAGATACATGAGCCCCAAACGGCCTATGTAGGGGCTACATTAAGACCAATGCATATACTGTATGAATACATGGACCCTTAGGGATAAGGCTTAAGGCACGAAGTCCGTCTGTTGCTCGAGCAAACTCTATCAGCAGAGCCTTCTACACCGCGCACACTCATGCACACCAGGCACCCTGCAAGTAAAATCTGAAGCTTTGAACTTTGAATGCCAGTCCCCGATTCATGAGTCCTAAATCGCAAACCAGGATTTCGCAGCCGGCAGCATGTCGGTCAATGTGGAAGTTGGACTGCTGAGTGGCAAAACCGCCACTGTGCCAGCAGAACTGGGTGAGACTGTAGAAACGTTGAAGCGACGCGCAGAAATCGCACTCGGAGTCGGGAAAGGGCGGCTACTGGACTCAGCTGGAAGAGTTCTGGATGGAAGTGCCCTAATCAAGAAAGCCAAACTTCAGAATGGAGACTCTCTGACCCTGCAAATAAGCAGGGTTCAAGTTCAAGCAAGTCGCCGCGCGTTTGCTGCCATTCTTAGTGATGGATCCGTTGCGACTTGGGGTGAAGCTGGGCGTGGCGGCGACAGCACTTCTGTGAAGGATCAGCTCAAGAATGTGCGGCAGATCCAAGCCTCTGTCAGCGCTTTTGCTGCCATTCTTGGCGATGGAAGCGTGGTGACCTGGGGTGATGCTGAGCGTGGCGGCGACAGTAGTGCTGTTCAGGATCGGTTGAGCAATGTGCAGCAGATCCAAGCTTCTCTTGGCGCTTTTGCTGCCATTCTCGTCGACGGATCCGTTGTGACTTGGGGGGTTGCTGATCGTGGTGGCGACAGTAGTGCTGTTCAGGATCAGCTGAAGACTGTGCAACACATTCAAGCCTCTTCTAATGGCGCATTCGCTGCCCTTCTTGCCGATGGATCTGTCGTGACTTGGGGTGATGCTGAGGGCGGCGATTCTAGCGCTGTACAGGACCAGCTGAGGAATGTCCAGCAGATCCAGGCCTCTGAGAGCGCTTTTGCTGCTATACTGGTCGATGGATCTGTCGTGACTTGGGGTGATGCTGACTATGGTGGCGATAACAGTGCTGTGCAAGATCAGCTGAGGAATGTCCAGCAGATCCAGGCCTCTGAGAGCGCTTTTGCTGCCATTCTGGATGGTGGATCCGTCGTTACCTGGGGTGATGCTGAGTATGGCGGGGACAGCACTGCCGTGAAGGATCAGCTCAAGAATGTGCAGCAGATCCAAGCCTCTGTGAGCGCTTTTGCTGCTATTCTTCGCGATGGATGCGTGGTGACCTGGGGTGATGCAGAGCGTGGTGGCGACAGTAGTGCTGTTCAGGATCAGTTGAAGAATGTGCAGCGGATCCAGGCTTCTTTTTGCGCTTTTGCTGCCGTCCTTGTTGACGGGTCGGTTGTGTCTTGGGGAATTGCTAATCGTGGTGGCGACAGCAGTGCTGTTCAGGATCAACTGAAGACTGTGCAACACATTCAAGCCTCTGCTAATGGGGCATTTGCTGCCCTTCTTGCTGATGGATCGGTTGTGACTTGGGGGAATGCTGCCACCGGTGGCGACAGCAGTACTGTGCAGGACCGGCTGGAGAATGTGCAGCATGTCCAAGCCTCTGACAACGCTTTTGCTGCCATTCCTGGTAATGGATCTGTCGTGACATGGGGTAAAGCTTCCTCAGGTGGAGATTGCAGTGCTGCGCAGGATCAGCTGAACACTGTGCCACAGATCCAAGCTTTTGTTGCTTTTGCTGTCAGCTGCGACCTGAACCTTGTAACTTGTAACTGTGACTCAGTGGGCAGTGTCGACCGCAAGACCTGCCGAGCAAAGACTAAGATCATAATAGGCCGGCAACTAGGCCGACTAGACTAACATGGCGGTCTTCTTAAGTTATTTAAACCTTGGCGCCCCGGAACCTCTAAGCCCCTTGGGCAACTTTATGCACTTAAGGTGCTCCAATGTAATTACGTATCCTAAATTTAACCTAAGAAATCATCTAAAGTTAGTGTGCCAAGAAGGGTTTGAGAAATGCTTGAGCCAGGCTTCGGCCTACTCTGATCACCTACAATGCCACCTTGGCAGCGTTCGATGCTTGGAGCGTTTTCGTGCGTTTCGATGTTTCGCCGCCCATCGGATGCCGGCGACTCCCCAGTTTGGGATTTTGGGGTCTGCTTCAGGTGCCAGCCACAAAGAAGCGGCACTCCTGAGTGTTCGTATAGCACCAAGTATTTGGTGTTTGGGTTTCATTTCAGGTGCCAGAACCCGTCATTGAAGAGTGTGAAAGGTGCATATGGGAGTTTCCAAAAATAGGGGACCCTAAAATAGCACCCTAAATAGTAGGATCCTTATTATAAGGACCCCTAAATAATGTACCCCTAATTTTTGGAAACTCCCATATAACTTGAAACCCAGCCAGAGGCTTCTCCCTCACCGAACTCGGGCTCCTATATGTTCAGTTTATAGGGGCAAATACAAAAGTCGAAACTCAAGAGAGACGGATACACACTAGACCCCAAGACCCGGTGTAGACCCCAAGACCCGGTTTAATCATGAAGGTCCCCAACAGTATTCCCCGGGCTTTGGTGTACCATACTTTAATATTTCCTTTTTTTTTAAGGAAGCATTATGAAAGAACCGTTTGTACTTTTTTCTCCCTTGTTACTTAAACGCCCGGATCCCATTCAGAACCATGAGGCCTCTATTGGAGTCTAGGGTCCTGAATAGTGACAAGCTCCATATAGCAGAGCTAGACGAGAGCTTGTTTTAGGGAAGGATGACCTGATACTACCCATCAACGTTCTTAGTCTTAGGTTCGGGTGTCCGGTCAAAAATAATATGCATACTCCAAGATCACCACAACCTTAGATCCTAAACCCCTTGCCGATGATTGAGGCCTCTAGACTACCCAGAAAGATCGTCGTGGTAAGCCTAAGGGTCCAAGTACCCAATAGTCATATACTCTCCCAAATATCAACCTACATAACTACTACCCTAAACCCAAGTACCCAAAAATCATAAACTCTCCCAAATATTAACCTACATATCTACGATCCTAAGCCCAAGTATCTGATTATTGGGTCCTTTGGACCCTTGGCGTCAGCCTCGATCCTCCAAGGAGAAGTCCGGAAAGTGGCGCCTGGCTTTGCAGTTGCTCGGGGATGTGAAGGCGGCGTAGGTCGTATAGAAGTTTAGAACAGATCCCCTAAACCCTAAACCCTAACCCCTAAACCCTAAACCCGAAGCCCTAAGGACTAGAGTACTTGGCTATGGAGCTTAAAGGGCGTTCGACAGTTTCAGGCGGCTGTATGGTAGGGACTGATATTTTATCCCTCATTCGTGCTATAACCCAGAAAGCTCACCACCCGGGAAGTACAGGCTTAAGCTCTCGAATTACAGTAGGGTCTGCTTCCAAATTTCCGGGCATATTGCTTGTTAAAGAGCCAGCTCTTTTTCTTGGCAAGCCCTCACGCCCTCAACCAAATCCGTAATCATGCAACTCCTGACCCCCAAATCCCTTAATAAAGCAGCCAAAGCCCAAAAGCACTCAGAGGGTTCTTCACAAAACCCTCTGAAAGGCTTCACAGCTCCTTGCAGATGGCATCACCTTCACGGCCGCGCTCAGCTCTTGCGTCCGTGCCCCTCGGCCGCAGCTTTGAAGTTTCTCAACCCTATAAGCCTGAAATATGAACCTCAGGGTCCCCACTCCCCACCCGACAAACCTGCTTTGCACCATCACTGTGTTCGGCTCCTTAAGGTTCATTATCAGGGGGCACCATGTTCCATAGGTTGTATCGGCCCCACGACGATGTGCGAGCCCTAGACGTAGCTACCGCTCATTGCCTCGCAGCACATCCTGGCGAAAATTAGGGACCCAAAAAGCACATAAGCATAAGTATTTTACCGGGATATCCCTACCTTACTGGGCTTCATTATAAGGGGGGTTATATGGGATGTCCCTATCCCAAGTTTTGCTTATGTGCTTTTCTGGGGCCCTAGAAAAAGGCCCATAAGAATCGGGATAGATTCCCCAGGGATTGGCTTTTGAGCCAGCGCAACAGATCTGGAAAAAACTGTGTACCGAAAGCCATGCTTGCCGGAAGAACTCTGCACGAATCTAAATTTGCTTTCCTATGGACTGCGCCAGAATCCAAACCTTAAGCCCTAAACCCATAAATAAACCAGAAACCGGACAAGAAACCTCCCTGAGCCTAAGCGTAGCCCTTCACAAGCCTAAATCGTCAGAACCCCTGAACAGAGAGGCTAGAGTCCCTTCTAGATCTGTGAACAGCATATCGAAAAGCGTTTAGGATTTAGGGTCAGAATCAAGGCATATTGTTTAGTTAACCGGTTGAGCCTCTATCCTTGAAACCCCATCGCCCTACAACTCCGAATTTCAAGTCCCCTAAATATGTTGGACCATCAAGCAACCCATAACCCACTAGGCCGAAACTCCTTCAAACCTACCTATAGTCTTCAACGTAGTTCCATTATTGGGTTACGTTACATGATGTTTGGTTAAACCAAAAGAACCAACTGCGATGGAGGCCATGGGCAAACCTATGACCTATGTACGACTTTTCTTGGGGTCGGTCCTGTGTGGAGTCTAGTCCTTAAACATCCCTTAGACTCTAAATTGTCGGGCTCCTTACAGCACAAAGCCCTAAAACCCCAAACATCCCCTAAACCCGAGAACCCCAAACCCGAGAACCCTAAAACCCTGAACCCCTGCACCCTAAACATCCCTAAACCCGTAAACCCTAAAACTCTAAGCCTTAGAACCCTAAACCCTAAACCCCCCGAGCCCTAAACATCCCCTAGACTTATCCGAAAACCCTAAATCCCCAAACCCCCGAACCCTAAACATAAAACTCTAAGCCTTAGACCCCTAAACCCTAAACATCCCCTAAACCCGAAAACCCCAGCGAAGCCTCTTGGCACTGTTCCAGGCCGGCCGCTGGCGCGAGTCCTTGCAGCTGTAACCCGGCTCTGTGTTTTGTGGGGCTTTTGAGTGCTTCTTTTGAGGCCTCAAGGGTTTTGTGGGTTTTTTGAGTGTTTCTTTTACGGCCCTCAAGGGTTTTTGTGTGGTTTTTGAGTGCTTCTTTTGAGGCCTCAAGGGTTTTGTAGGTTTGTTGAGTGTTTCTTTTACGGCCCTCAAGGGTTTTTGTGTGGTTTTTGAGTGTTTCGTTTAAGGCCTCAAGGGTTTTTGTGAGGTTTTTGAGTGTTTCTTCAAAGGCCTCAAGGGATTTTGTGAGGTTGTTGAGTGTTTCTTTTGAGGCCTCAAGGGATTTTGTGAGCTTTTTGAGTGTTTCTTTAAAGGCCTCAAGGGATTTGTTTACAGGTTCAGGACCGTTTCAAAAGCCTTGAGGCTTTAACAATTGTGGTAGGGTTTGTGGTTCAAGGTTTGTTTTGGTTGAGGATCGTTTTAAGGCCTTGAGGCTTTAAGCTTTGTTGTAGGGCTTTTGCGTGCCACTGCAAGGCTTCGAGAGCTTTTGAGGTTTAGGGCCGTTTTAAGGCCTTGAGGGTTTTGGGTGCTTTTAAGGCTTCAAGGGTTTCGAGTTTATGGTCTTTCACGGTTTCACGGTTGAGGGTTATTTATGGCTTTAATCGCTACGTCAAGGGATCTATGAGGGTTCCACAGCGTCTTGTAGCATTCAGGGTCCCAGGAGTCTAGTGTTTAGGGTTCCTGGCTTTTTGACTGTTGTTTGGAGTTCTTTTCCTTTATGTACAGAATCCGCAAAGCAACAGTGCTTGTTTTTTTTGCCTGCCTTCTATAAGCTAAAGGAGAGAGATAATAAGCAACAGACACCAGTGATATCAGCAACAACATATTGACACCAAGTCGAGCGATGGGATGTACACCAGTAGCTGGACGAAGGTGGCTGGTATGGCGATGATGCCATTTATGAGGATGTGAATGATTGCAGTCTGCTGTTTCTGCTGTTTCGGGCGAAGAGTCGTAGCGACGCGGCCCTTTGGCTTGCATCTACCCAATAGACCGGCGAAGTCAGAAAAGTACCAAAGCTCTATTTCATAGAAAAAGAGCTTTTTTTACAAACAAGTCAAAACGCGAATTGACTATGTTAATTAACTTCGAAGTCAATAGTTAATTTGTTTTGCGTTTACTTTGAAGTTAAAACGCCGCCCCCGCAAAGTCAAAACAGAGTTTACTTCGAAGTTAAAATTTTGACTTCGAAGTAAACTCGGGAAGGGGAAACTGCTACTGAAACTGCTTCCAAACTGCCTCTGTGGCCGGCCGAAACTGCTACAGAGATTTTGCTCTTTGAAAGTGCATTGTTGTGTGTGTTTGTGTGCATAAGTATATATAAGTTGTTGTGTGTAAATGTTTCTCCGTGTGCTTCTGTCTGTGTGTTGTGTGTCGTGTGCTTTGTGTTTTGTGTTATATGTGCTATGTGTTGTAGCTGACAAATGTACACATGCTAAGCTACATGTGCCTTATGCCAAGATTGTGTCTGTGTCGTGTGTGTGTGTGTGGTTGTGGTGTGTTGTGTGTCGATGTCGTTGTGGGTGGGCGGTGAGTGAGTGTGAGTGTGTGTGTGTTGGTTCGGGCTTCAGGGTTTGCGGTTTAGGGTGTAACTTGGCAGCTTAGCTTGAGACGGGTGTGTGTTGGTTCGGGCTTCAGGGTTTGCGGTTTAGGGTGTAACTTGGCAGCTTAGCTTGAGACGGGTGTGTGTTGGTTCGGGCTTCAGGGTTTGCGGTTTAGGGTGTAACTTGGCAGCTTAGCTTGAGACGGGTGTGTGTTGGTTCGGGCTTCAGGATTTGCGGTTTAGGGTGTAACTTGGCAGCTTAGCTTGAGACGGGTGTGTGTTGGTTCGGGCTTCAGGGTTTGCGGTTTCGGGTGTAACTTGGCAGCTTAGCTTGAGACGGGACTCGGGGTGGAGAAGTTCCCTAAACCCCTAAACCCTAAACCCCTAAACCCCTAAACCCCTAAATCCCTAAACCTAAACCCTAAACCCTCGAACATTCGGTCCTTCCCACATTTTCGCACAGCTCCCCAACAGTGTAGCACACTTCTCCAAGCCGAGGAATGCTCAGGCCCTCTTGGCCTCGATCTTGTGAAATTGCACATGTAAAGCCATTCTGTATCTTGTTGCAACCTTGATAAGAGCAGAACCGGGGCCATTCCCCTTGACCGATGCCTGTGTGAGCTCCTGTACTCGTCTCTGCTGGTCCTCTCCACTGAAGCACCATAAAAGTCGTGGCGAAACATGCCGAGCCAGAATGCCGCAGTGCTGAGCAAAATGCGACTTCTCGGTGACGTTGAAGAGCTTTTGAGGCTCATCTTGAAAGTGCCCTTGCAGCTGGTGCTGCAGCATGAGAACTCCATCGATAGAGGTCTCGAATACCGAAGCATCTCTCGAGGGCAGTGCAAAAAGCTCACGGTGATCAGTCAAAAGCTGCTCTGCATTGGCATTCAGTTTAAGGAGGAGGTGGATCTTACGATGTATCTCCAATGCTGGGTTCATCTTGGCCGCCCAGATGTTGAAAATCGGACGACTGAGATGTCGTATTTCAGCCCCCTTGCCTCGTAATTTGGGAGATCCTTTTTTTCTAAGGATCATGCTTAACCTGTTCAGGTATCTGAAGCGACATGGAACAGCCAAATCTGAGTACTGTTGCTGCAAAAGCTTCCAAAAGGACTGCATGTTTTCCTCTGGGGTCCCAGGAAGGATGTAAAAAACGAGCATGAAGATGATGCTGGCATATAAAAACTGGTCTAGGCCGAGGTATTTTATGTGAAGCCAGTCAAACGCCACGGTCCAACAGCTCGTTCCAGGAAGTTGCAGCAAAGGGCAGGATGATTTGCCAGACCACAATCGCCATTCGGAGGCTTTCCAAGACGTGGCTCGCCAAGCCGCAGAAGTTCGGAAGTCTTGCCAGCTGCAAGGGCCGACCTTCGTGCTCCGGCACAGAGCACATGGCCCCGAAGCCAATGTACTTCTTGGGAGGTCAAGGACCGATGCATAATAATCAAGATCGCCTTGCAAAGAGAAAAGGAAAGCGAAATGTCCTCCCATCAAAGGTTGTCCAGCTTTGCGAGCTTCCTGACTCCCTGCCGGGTACCTGATCTGTCTGGGTATATATGTCGGGGTATATATATGTCTAGGCTTTTAAACAAATAGGGGAGGTCAACCCTAAACACTAAACCCAAAACCCCTAAACCCTAAACCGTGCTAGGCTCTCGAGCAAAGAAACACAAGATTGACAATGCCATCCAAGATACTGCTTGCCCGAAAAATCAGCTGATGGCCAAACACCTTCCCAGAGGATTTGAAATGACCAAGCCAGCACTGCCAAGAACTTGTGAGCGGTGCCATTCATGTCATTCGACATGACTCTCAGCTTTTCCCAAAATCCACCCATGTAAAACAGTAGCTCTTTCACAGAGCCAAGACCCAAAAGGCTCATGAAACTCAGGTCGGTCAACTGCTGGCACCAAGCTTTCCCCAACCCAGTGATTGGAACAGCATCGCCGTGAACACCCAGGGGTATGCAAAGCCGCTGATAATTCGGCCGAGCGAGGAGTGGGCTTGACTCCAGTGCAGGATGGCCCTTCACTGAGCGCCAAAACTGCTCGGCTCGGCTATCCGACGGCTTCACAACCTTAACCCAAACAGCTGGGAAAGTGTCATAAATGGATGCCAACAGCTCGTGTGGCATGAGCACCGGAAGTGTATCCAGACCCGCCTTGGTCGGTACCTTATGAAGAACCGCAGGTGGCACCTTGATGCTCGGGGCCAGCTGCCTTGTCAAGTCGGCCCAACACTTGTTCGGATACAGGCCACTGGCCCCCAATTTGGCCAAAGTTTCCAGCTCTCCAGGCATGTCGCCGGTCTCTCTGGCCCTCGCTGCATCCCTGCATGACAAAGCCGCTATTTTTTGCACTTGTTGCGGCGACATTGATCCCCACAGGCATTCTTCCACCAAGTAGGCAGCAAGATCAGAGGTTTGGGTTTTTTCCTCTCTACTTCTTTGCAGTCGTTGCCTCAGCCCACCTTTTCGCTTCTTCGCCGGAGGTTCAGCCATGAGAAATGAACAATCTAGGATCGTTGGAGATGAATATGCTCAGGGTCTGTCGCAAGAGAGTGTATTTTTAGATAAAAAAACCTATGTACCATGAGAGTCTACCATGAGAGTCTACCATGAGAGACTGTATACCATGAGAGTTTACCAATAGAGAGTGTACCATGAGAGTCTACCTTGAGAGACTTTACCATGAGGGTATACCATGAAACACTGTGTGACATAAGAGTATACCATGAAGGACTTTCATGTAAAAGGTCATATAACATGAGAGTCCAGCATGACATGGTACTCAGCCCGAAACCCTAAACCCCTAAGCCCTAAACCTCTAAACCCTAACTCCCAAACCCCTCGTTCTGGCTAATATGTCTACACACTGCCAGGGCCTTCGGAATGTTATCCAAGGAGACACCTAAGACCTATCGAGGAGTGCGATCACAATCGGGGCTTGCTTATCTGGAATGTGTAGCGATGTTGTTTTCATCTAGTGTCTGAGTCCCCTTGAGGGAGCAGACTTGAGCATTCATGTTCAAGTGATTCGATGCATCTTGTAATTTGGGGAATGCTTATACAGGTCGCTGTTGTAGAGGTTGTTCAAGCCTTTTAGGCGCTCAGGTTCAGGGTTTAGGGCGGAGGTGTATGGTTTGAAATTTCGGGGATTGGGGTATCCGGGCTTCCAGGGTTTAAGATTGAGGCTGCATGGCCGAAACAAGGGCGGTGGTCTATTGTCTATATGGGATTGGGTTTGGGGATAGAGTTTTGGGTTGAGGCTTCATGGTTTAGAATCGTGTGGGATTGCTGTTGGAACGTCCAGGCTTTGGGGTCCATGGGTTCGTGGTCTTATGTGGGTGTATACATGGGTTTGATAGTTTGGTTAGGGTGAGGCTGTTCGTGGTTTGATGCGGGTGGGGAGGGTTTAGGGATGGAAATTGC